TGGTGTAGCCATTCACCCAGGGGTGACTTCTCACTTTCACTCTCTCTCTCTCCAGTGAACGTACACACTCTACGGCAGAAACCTAAAAAGTCTGAGTGTATTTTAGAACAAACCAATTTTGAAATCTATGCATAGTATTTTTTTTTTAATTTAAAATTTTGCTATACGGTGTTTTCTCTGGAGAGAGAAAGCAGCACCTCCTGGGGGTGTGTGTGGCCATACTACAATCCCTTCTCTTCCATTCTCCTTTCAGGATTTTGGGCCCATGTACATGCACCTGGCGTGTTTTTCAGGCCACCAGGAATGGGAGTCAAACTACACAGTCAGCCAGGTGAAGTCAAGTAGCCTTAACCCCATGCCACTAGCTAGCCCACAACTTTTTTTTTAAAGATTTATTTATTTAACTTTATTTATTTTCATCTGATCAGAGAGTGACAGAACAAAAGAGAGAGGGAAAGTGAGAAAGCAAGCCACAAGGTCCAAGACTCAAACCACGGTCAGCCATATGGAATCCAGCGTCCTTAATCATCACGCCTCCTGACAGCCCCTCCCCCAAATTTTTTTTTAAGAGATTTTTGCTCTAGGGCATATGTGCTCGCTTGAAAGACAGAGACAGAAAGCAAGAAATCACCTCCCAGAGAAATAGCCATGCCACAGTCCCTTCTCCAGTCTTCTCTTGGGATTTTGGGCACGCACACACACAAGCCTGACCCAAGTTTTAAGCTTCTGGGTTTGGGAATTGAACCGTGGTTGGCATGGGAGTTCAGCGACATAACCATTACATCAGCTGCAGGTCCCTACAAATCTAATTCTTAATGGTGCATGGAGAGTACTGGTAAGGAAAGGAGGGACTTTTGTTTTCTGCTGTATAGTCTTCTAGAGTCCCACATGGCCGACCAGTTTGAGACCTAGACCTGGTGGCTTGCTTTTTCACTTTCCCTCTCTATCTGTGTCTCTCTCTGGTCAAATTAAATGAATGGGCATCAGCAGTTGGCGTAATGGCTGTCGCTGGACTCCCATGTAGTTGACCACAGTTTGAGTTAACGGACCTGGTAGCTTAAACTCATGCCAGATGCATGTGCATTTGCGCCCAAGGTACCGAGAGGAAAATGGAAGAGAAGGGATTGCGGTGTGGCCACCCTCCAGGGGGTGATTTCTCGCTTTCTGTCTACCTCTGTCTTTCTAGCGAGCACACGCACCCTATAGCAAAAACCTCTCCAAAAATAGATAAATGAAAATAAAATAAATGAATAAAATTATAAATAAATATTAAATAAAATAATTCTTAAAAATTTTTTTACTGGATATAACTTTTAAAATTAAATTCTAGGTATTTACCAAATATCACCCCACAAAAGTATGCATGGGTAGAAACTTATGCTTACAGAATAAACAATTTGTTAAGGAACAGCTCCTATGTCATCCAGTTAACATGAGATGTCGTTTAGTAGACTTATTCCAGGGACAGCCCATAACACTTCATTAATGTTTTAATCCAAGTAAGTGCATCTAGATATGCACTTCCTAGTCCTGAAACCGTTGACACAGTGATAAAATGACAAGAGTTGACACATGGAAACACAAAATTCTAGGATTTTCAAACTTTTTTCTCTCTCCACCTGCTACTAATAGAACACCAGGCCCATATCAGCACTTCCTTTTCTTTCAGAGCCTGCCTCAACTCCTCCCACTTTGCAAGAGAGGTAGTGGGTGTTCAGCAAGACCCCTTGGAAACAAACAGCTATTCCAGAAAAATAATTGTTCACACACCAAGGGCTGCCAACAAGAGCAGCACATTTTAGTAACCTTAATGAAGCAGAGAGCAACACCTCTTGCCATACATGTTCCGGCTGGAAGAAAGCATCTACAGATTATGGAAAAGTACAACTTAAAAAGCAAACACCACAGGCTCTGGTAGAGTAGGAAAGCAAGCAGATTCCTCAACACAGAGCTCAATTGTGAGAGTGCACTGTACCTTACTTCTCACTATCATCGCTTGCTCTGTCAAAAATAGAACCTTCTGTGTCTTGATCCATTCAGAGTAAGCCACAGCGGGCATGTCTCTGCATACACAGGGCAGCTGGGTCAGAAAGGCCATGCGGAGATGGAAAAAGCAGCCAGCAGGTTTTCTTAGGGATTATACTGCTCTGGCTTTTATCCTTCTCCTCAGCTATTCTGGTGCCAAGAAAGCTACAGGGAGGTCTCCGCTGTTCTGGAAATCTGTGATCTTTTCACCAACAGCACTAAAGCAGTGTTGAGGCTGGCACTCCCTCTGCTGCCCAAACTGCTCTTTGCATGCTGTAGTCTATAATTTCAAACTCACATATGTTAAGAGCCCTTTATTTAAAAATACAACCAGAAAAGTACAAGTTCATACAGACTACGGCTGGAATGCAAAGTTCTAAACTGGACTGACTTCTACAGTCCAATACAAATCTCATCTCAAAATGGTTTCTTTTATTCAGTTTAACCAAGTCTATTATCTCCTCACAGGCACCTGGACTTCGTGGTCCTTCCTCATCCATCCTTAGTAACAGTTTTTAGCAGAATTTAAGGTAGGATTTATCTCTCAAGATTCAATTTAGGACATGGCACAGACATTGTTTACATGTTTCACTTTATTAACTTTGTGCTTCCCTTACAGCAGATACTCAATTACCATTTAACAGAATTCCGACAAGGACCACCTGAGATACTGGGGAACGCTGTCCACATAAGAATTCAATTAGGAAATAATCAGCTAAGGGGAGGAGCCAAAGTCCTTAGAAGTAAGAGACAGTTGTGTTTCTCCAACATTCTGCCTTACAACTATTTTTTTAGGAGAGGTTTTTGCTATAGGGCACGTGAGCTCACCAGAAAGACAGAGACAGACAGAGACATAAAATGGAAAATCACCCCCCAGAGTGATGGCCACTCCGCAATCCCTTTTCCTCAATTCTCCTCTTGGGATTTGGGCACACAAACACACCTGGCGTGAGCTTGAACCACCAGGTCTGGGACTTGAACTGTTGTCGACTATGTGGGAGTCCAGTGACATAACCATTATGCCAATTGCTGATCCCTGCCTTACATTTTTTAAGTTACTCATTTAATTCCATTTGTCATTATCATTATTTTTAAAAAAGAATTATTTATTTAATTAATTTATTCATTAATTTATTGTAATTTGACCAGAGAGAGACACAGGAGGAAGAGAGAGATGTAAAGTGAGAAAGCAAGCCACTAGGTCTGGGACTCAAACTGCGGTCAATCATATGGGAATGTGAGCACTTAACCACTACGCCATCTGCTGGCCCCAGTCATTATTATTTTTTAATTTGACCAGAGAAACAGAGATAGAGAAGAGAAAGCAAGCTGCCAGACCCAGTACTCAAACTGCGGTCAACAATGTGGGAATACAGAGCCTCTAACCACCATGCCACCTGCCAAATCCTTTTCTGCATTACAATTCACCAGCTCAGTTTGTGGTTTTTTTCAGACTACCAATGTCAGAAAGTCTCTTTGTTGTTGTTGGTGGTTTTTTTTGTATTTTTGCCATAGGGTGAGTACACCCACCAGGGGGAGAGAGAGAAATCACCCCCAGGGAAAAGGCCACTCTGAAATCCCTTCTCCATTCTCCTCAGGATTTTGAGCACGCATGCACACGTGCTTGGCGTGCTTTTCAAGTCGCTGAATCCAGGACTCTAAGGGTACAACAGGCCATGTGGGATCCAGTTGCCTTAACTGCCATGCCATGCCATTGCTGGTCCTAACATCCAGTTGCCTTAACTGCCATGCCATGCCATTGCTGGTCCCAACAGAGTTCATTTTAAAAGTACTTTAAAGGCACTTCATGCTTGGGACCAGCAGATGGCACAATGTTTATGTCGCTGAACTTCCACATAGTCGACTACGATGAGTCCTAGATCTGGCAACTAAAAATTTATGCCGGACATGTGTGCATGTGTGTGCCAAAAGTCCTGAGAGGAGAGAATGGAAGACAAGGGGTTACGGTGACTTTTTGCTTTCTGTCTCTCTGGCAAGTGCACATGCCCTGTAGCAAAAATCTCTTGGAAAAAAAAAAAAAAAGATATTTCATTCTTTGCCTATACCCAAACATTTCTCACAACCTTAGTGATAAGCTCACTAAAACCACAGTCACTTAGAGAGTGTTAAGCAAATACCTATTCAAATGTTCTGAGGTCCACACTATAGGGCGGGAAGTAGCATAGTGTACTGTAGTGCTAGAAACCCAGATGCCTGTAGGGGTTTAGATCCCTGAAACACACCAAGCTCACAGAGGTGCCTGAGATCCTGGGACCTGGAGGGCTGGAGGAAGGGGATCATGGTATGACAAGACCCTATCAAGGCTACTCTCTTTTGCTTGGTTCCTGTGCTATCATGAATTTAAAAATAAATAAATGAGGGAACCAGCAGTTAGCATAATGGCTATGTTGCTGGATTCCCACATAGTCGACTGCGGTTCGCGTCCCGGAGCCGGTGGCTTAGAACTCACGCCGGGTGCGTGTGCGTGCGTGCCCAAGATCCTGAGAGGAGAATGGAGGAGAAGGGATTGCGGCGTGACCACCCCCCCGGGGGGTGATTTCTTGCTTTCTGTCTCTATGTCTCTCTCTGTCTCTCTGGCGAGCGCACGCGCCTTATAGCGAAAAACCTCCCAATAAATAAATAAATAAATAAATAAAAGAAAAAGAAAATGGCCCCAACCTACTGTGCTTAGAACTCTAGTGTTCTAGCATCCAGAATCAGAACTGACAAGGACATGTGTTAGTGTAATAACGTTAGTTTCTGTGAACACTCCCCTCGTCCTCCACCCAATACTGGAAGCTTACCTGTCGTGTAGAATCCCTACTCTCTGCCTGAAGAATCCACAGGTCCACACTATGAGAAATATGAACGCCCAGGGCAACTGCAACCCTTCAGAAAACTTTAAGATAAATACCAACAGCTTATGGTGCCACTGTGTAAGGTCCCTACCACTGGGTAGAAAGAAACAATATACATTTAATAAAAACAATCCCATAGCATTTATTGCCAACTAGTAATAACATAACGGTAATCAAAACAATATGAACAAATTTTTAGAACTATACTCTCCACGAAGGGAACAAACTACTGTCTTCTCAGCAAGTCCTCACTTCGTTGATCATTTCTAGTTGGAGACACTTTGTAGCAGAGTTATATTATCTCCTTTTAACATGATCCGACCTGTAAAAAAAATATATAAAATCTATCAATAGCCAGCCATTACATCAGACTTAAAACCACCTTCCAGTCTTAGAATTTTGTACCTAGTTTTCAAATAATATTTTGGAAACGCTTTCTCTCTTTTAAACTTATGTGACTATTCTCAACTGTCTATATACTTAAATGCTTTCCAGCTCCATTAGCACATACATACTTTTTCAACATAACCTCATCAAGGTAGATGTTATTTCAGGAAAAGTATCGTTTTTACTGACTAAGTCAACTGAAAAGGCCTAACCCAACACTCCCCAGTGCTGTTTGTAAAAGTCTGGAAATGAATTGTATGTATAACCTCCATGCCACTGGCTAGCCCAACATTAGTCTATTCTAAAGAATGGATATTACCGGGAACCAGCAGTTAGCGTAATGGCTATGTTGCCGGACTACCACGTAGTCAACCGCGATTTGTGTCCTGGACCCGGTGGCTTAAAACTCATGCTGGGTGCGTGTGCATGCGTGCCCAAGATCCCGAGAGGAGAATGGAGGAGAAAGGATTGCGGTGTGACCATCCCCCCCTAGGGGGTGAGTTCTCGCTTTCTGTCTCTGTCTGTCTGTCTGGCGAGCGCACGCGCCCTATAGCGAAAAACCTCTCAACCCCCCCAAAAACAAAAAACCCTAAAAAAAAAAAAAAAAAAAAAAAAGAATGGATATTACCAATGGAATTCAACACAACATGAATAATAGCTTCAACACTATTAGTGTTGGCAACTGCAGTATGAACTGTCCGGGTACAGAAAAAAGAAAATGGAATGGGGTGAGGAATCAATGGGAAAGGATGATTTCTAAAGTTTACTAGTTCCCTAAATAATACTTTTTCAGATGCAAACTATATTTAACACCAAGTTGTAATTTTTTTTTCAATTCTACAAGTGAATAACTATTTCTAGAACTCTGTAAGATATCTATACTTTTTTTAAAAAGTATTTAATTACTATTATTTTAATTTTGCTATAGGACATTTGTACTCAACAGAGACACAGAAAGAGAAAGCAAGTCACCAGGTCCAGGACTCAAACTGTGGCTGGCCCTGTGGAGTCTAGCACCGTGGAGTCTAGCACCTTAACCACCATGCTACCTGCTGGCCCAAGATCATCTATATTCTTACCCAGTTGTTTTCTTGACTTTGTTTTAGAATGAATCTCCTCTGCATCATCTAATACAAGGTTCATATACTCATCAAAACCCTAGAAAAATAAAGCCAGTTGACAATTATCTTCAAATAAAACCACATCCAAATCACTATAAATATATTTAACTATATCAGAAAAGCCAACTAACCTCCAAAATTTATCACTCTACTAACTTTCAGCTGAAATAACAATCCCCATTCAAAGTCCTTTTTGAAATAAAGTCAAAAAATTGTTGAAATTATTTCTTTTATCTTTTGGATTTCATAAAATATGCTAACAAGCAATTCTCCCTATCTTTTGAAACATGTCCAATATAGAGAATGTATATACATCATATAGTTTCTTTGTTTTTTTGTTTGTTTGTTTTAAATTTCTGCTAAAGGATCCATGCAGTCCCCACCAGAGAGATAGAATGAGGGAAAGTGAGATATCACCCCCTTGGGGGACTAGCCATGCCACAATCTCTTCTCCATTCTTCTCTGGGGATTTTGGGCAAGCATGCAACTGTGCCCAGTGAATTTTTCTAACTGCCAGGTCTGGGACCCAAACTACACAGTTGGTCACGTGGGACCCAGCTGCCTTAACCACTACCTGGCTGGCTCCACATGAATTATCTTATAATACCACCTCATCTCCCATGTTCCCCACAAAACACAATTACCACTAATCATCTTGCTTATTTCCCCACCAGTAAGAATGAGACTGTGAGACTGTTGGCAACTCTGATGTGTAAATGTAACACCAAAGTATCCTGACAGAAGACTTCTAGTCAGTTTATCTTCTTCTGAAACATGACTTAAAGTAGCCCACTATCCTGGAAGTCTCAGGTAACCCCACACACTCCACTCAAGTATCACCTGACCCAGAACGAAAACTCTACCAATCCTCACCCCTCAATTTGATTTCTTTTTTTCTCTCTCAAATACCAATATTACTGTTTAAGTGATTTTTAAAAAGTTACCTTCCCTTTTTTTTAACTTCTCCAACCCCTATCAACTAGAACAACGAGAAAAGGCTAAAGAGTAGTCCCTGAAAAACTTTCTCTCGGTTGGGTCTTTGGGTTTTTCATACATTGTTCTAGCTGGCCATTTTCTTGTGAAATCTTTTCCTATAAACAAACTGTTCTGAAATGAAATAGCCTGGGTACTCACAATGATACAGCCTTCTATCCGCATATTTACTTGCTCATAGAGCCACACCTGAATCCGGGATCTCTGAATAGTCATAAAGATAAAAAAAAAAGTAAATAAAAGTAGCTCATGTTAGTCAAATAATAGAAAACTATGGCTAAGAAAAGTTTAATGAATACAAGCCAAGACTTTTAACTAATTAGTCCATACATAAAAATTGTTTACCAAGATTGACAACTTGCAAAGAAACGGTTTCATTTAATAAATGCTATGTTGGGACTGTCAAAGATAAAAATCTTGTGATCTGGGGACTCAATCATATTTCTTACTGCTTCTAGTCTCAACGTAGTTAGTGTGAAAAAACTAAGGACAGTTTAACACAAAGCAGTCATATCTAGTGACCAAGGGATTCATTCTTAATTTCTACATCAAAATCTGGGGCAAAACAGAGCCTTCTCTAGGTTCTGGTCTCCATGCTGCACGCCTGACAGCCAGAGAAGGAGCCCTTAATTCCACTGATTAAAAATTACAATAGCTTGAGGGGACCAGCAGGTGGCATGGTGGTTAAGGTGCTGGTCACACCCACATAACTGACCCTGGTTCGAGTCCTGGAACTGGTGTTTTCCTTTCTCACTTTCCCTCTTTCTCTCTCTGTATCTTTCTCTGGTCAAAACTAAAAACTAAATGAATAAAGAAATAAACTAACTAAATAATTTAAAAAAAGAATTACAATGGCTTGAGATAAATCTGTTTTAATGGTGTGTGCTTTGTCGCACATTAAAACTTAAGTAACTGCCCCTCCTCTGAGTCCACTCGCCTGTTCCTTCTTCAGCATTTTATTTAAGTTTTCCCACAAGTACTAAACACCCCACGGAACAGGTTCCTTTCCAGTGCTCCCAACTACTGGGTAGAAAGCGGACAGTTTCCGATGTTCCGGCCACAATCATCGACACCTCAAGTGCCAATGCCCAACACCACCGTCACGCCTGCCGATAAACACTTTCGGAAATAAGTCATTTTGATCTGGCTGACGGTTCTTCCCAGGCTTGGTGTTGGCATCGACACACGCCATTTTCTCACACCAGAGCGCTCCCTGTCCCTCCGATTGCCAGGTTCTTCTCTTTCTGAACAGCAATCGGAGTAACAAAAATAACCAAATAAACTCATCTTTTATTAAAGAGCAGGTAAAGACAACTAACCACTACCAACGAGCGACTTACGTACATTCTGCAAGTATCTGAAGATGAGGTTCTGCACCAAGTGGTCAAGGAAAACACCAACAACGAAGCCGGCACGACGAGGGCGCCAACTGTACACCCCGCAGGGGACCCCAAAGACTGAAAGACTCCATTCCCACCCGCGGAAGCTCTCCGGCAGTTTCCTTGCTTCCGGCGTCTTCCTCCCCCGGCTTACTCAGGGCGGCCGCCCCAGCCCACCTCCCACCGTCACAGCTTCTTCAACTGCGCGCGCTTTCGCCCGGCCCGGCCGCCCCGGGGGCTCATGGGATGTGCGACCGCGCTCCGCTCCCTCCTGGCCTGCGCCTGTGCCCCGGGTGTCTGCCCTGAACCTCCTAGTGCTGGCATCCGCCGTAGGATACGATGGGCTGCACCATCACCTTCTGCACTTTCTGGCCCTGGCCTCGGTACGCCATGGTGGAATCTCACAAAGGCCGCACCAACCCGCACGCCGCCTCAGAAAGCAATTTCCGGAATTACGGAGCGGAAGCGGAAGTGCGTACACTCACGCCGCAACCGAGGCCGCGCCCGGGAAATGCCTCGCTAGCCCTGCAGGCGCTTCTCTCTGTGCTCCGGAGCATCCCGGAGCGGCCAAGCTGAGGCCACTGCGCTCTGGACCCTGGGTCAATCCTGCAGCGCCACCTGGAGGGAGGCGGGAGGAGCGCCTAGGGGCTCCCGCGTCGTCTCCATTTTCTGAGCTGGCTTTAAGGTCCAAGATCCGGGCCAGCAGGTGGCGTGGTGATTGAGGCACTGGACCCTCCCCAACCCCCACCCCCTGGGTAACGTATGTTCGAGTCCCAGACCTGCTGGCATTCTCTTTGTTTCTCTCGCTCTCTCTTTCTATCATACACGAGCCCTGTAGCAAAGTAAAAGATGACGATAAATAAAATTAGGTAAATAATTCAAAATAGCTTTTCACCATTAACTTTGAATATAGATGAGGAAACTCAAGGTCAGAATTGAAGAGATTTGCCTGAAGACACTCCTTACGGCAACTGGCAGACTCAAAATTTGTTTAACCATGTAAGGAAAGGTGGGCATTGTGGAAAACAGAAAACTAAAAAGTAAAACTGCCACGTGGGGCCAGCATGTGGTGTGGTGGTTAAGGCAACTGGACTCCCACATGGCCGACCACAGTGCCAGTGCAGGACCTGGCGGCTTTTCTCTTTCTCACTTTCCCTTTCCCTCTGTCTCTCTCTCTGGTGAGGGCACCTGACCTATAGTAAATTTAAAATAACAGTAATAATAATAATAAATAAATAGAATAATGTAAAAGAAAAGAACCGCCATGTGATGCAGCAATACCACTACTGTCTATATATCCAAAGGAAAGGAAATCAATATGGCACAAAGATATCTGCACCCGGCCAGCCAGGCAGCCTAGTGGTTAAGGCAGCTGCACCCCACATGGCCAACTGCATGGTCCGAGTCCTGGACCTGTAGCTTGAAAAACAAGCCAGGCACCTGTGTGTGCATGTGTGCGCATGTGTGCCCAAGATCCCAAGAGGAGAGAGAAATGAAAGGGAATGCAGCACAACCATGTCCCATGCGGGATGCTTTCTCACTCCCCGCCCCCTCTCTTTCTCCGTCTCTTTCTGGGGAGTGCATATGCACTCTGGCAAAAATTCTTTAAAAGAAGAAGAAGAAAAAAGAAAAATGATCTTATAGAAATAGAGAGGAGGGCCAGCAGGTGGTGTGGTGGTGAAGGTACTGGACTTTCACATGGTCGATCATGGTTCGAGTCTTAGACCAGGCAGCTTGGTTTATCACTTTCCTTCTCTTCTGTCTCTTTCTGGTGAGCACACATGCCTTGCAGAAAATTAAAAAATAATAATAATAATGATAACTAAAATTAAATAGTTCTTTAAAAATACAAAGAAGTAAAGAGAGGAAGAATGATTACCAAAGGCTGGCGAGGGTGGACTGGAGGGACAGAGGGATGTGGGTTAATGGAAACAAAACGACAGAGGGGTAAGAGGAACAGGCCTGCGTTATAACATACAGTAGGGAGAATGCGATTTTCAACCTACTGTGTACCTCAGAGTAATGACAAATGGCTGACGTAATGGATATGCTAATCACTCTGATTTAATCACCACCCACATATCGTGTTCATGTGCTGAAAAATCATGTTGTACCTCCATAAATATACGCAATTCTAAATGTTAATATAAAAAGAGGGAGAGGACAATAGAACACATACACAGTTTTTCACTGCAAATAATTTTTTTCTTGCCAAACTGGAATAAACTATAATGAAAAAAAAAAATTGCTTAACTGAGTTATTTTGGTTTTGTTATAGGGCACGTGTGCTTGCCAGAAAGAGACAGGGAGAGAGATAGAAAATGAGAAATCACTCCCCCCCAGCCCCCCAAGGAGGGATGGCCATGCCACAGTCCCTTCTCCTCCATTCTCCTCTTGAGATTTTGGGCACACAAACACACACAAACAAATGCTTGGCATGATCTTTTTTTTTTTTTTTTTTTTTTTTTTTTTTTAGGGAACACTTTTTGGTCATTTTTGGCACATATACTCGCCAGAGAGACAGAGAGAGACAGACAGAAAGGGAGAAATCACTCCCCAGGGGGGATGGCCACATGGCAATCCCTTCTCCTCTACTTTCCTCTTGGTTTCTTTTTTTCTTTTTTTTTTTTTGGAGAGGTTTTTGCTATAGGGCGCGTGCACTCGCCAGACAGAAACAGAGAGACAGAAAGTGAGAAATCACATCCCCCCCAGGGGGATGGCTGCGCTGCAATCCCTTCTTCTCCATTCTCCTTTCGGGATCCTGGGCACGCACGCACACACGCCCAGCGTGAGTTTTAAGCCACCGGGTCTGGGACGCAAACCGCGGTCGACTACATGGAAGTCCAGCGACATAGCCACTATACTAACTGCTGGTCCCTCCTCTTGGTTTCTTGAACACGCACACACTGGCACCTGGCATGAGTTTTAAGATGCCAGGTCTAGGACGTGAACAGTGGTTGACTACATGGAAGTCCAGTGATGTAACCATTATGCCATCTGCTAGTCCCGATGTGATCTTGAAACCACTGGGACTGGGGCTCAAACCGTAGTCAGCCTGTGGGAGTCCAGCGCCTTAAACACTGTGCCACCTGCAGACCTCAGATGATTTTTATTTTTTCTTTCTTTTTTTTGAGCGAGATTTTTGCTATAAATCACCCCTCATGGGGAATGGTCATGCAGCATTTCCATCTCCTTCTCTTGGGATTTTGAGCTTGCACTCAAGCACACACACCCAGCATGAGTTTCCAGCCACCAAGTCTGGGACTCAAATGTGGTCAACCACGTGGGAGTCCAGACCTTAACCACTATGCCACGTATTGGCCTTGATGATTTTGCTCTTTACATCTTAAATTCTGGTTGGAATTTATCTAGTATATTCTAGAGCTGATACATATAAATAATTTCTAGGTAGTTACCCAGTTTTCTATTATCATTACCAACAAAATTCATTGTTCCCAATTCAACTTAAAATTCACAGTTATGGAGACCAACAGGTGGCATAGTGGTTAAGGTGCTGGATACTTCCACATGGCCAACCATGGCTTGAGTCCTGGACCTGGTGGCTTGCTTTCTCACTTCCTCTCTCTCTCTCTCTCTGTCCCTCTCTGGTCAAATTAAAAATAAATAATAAATAATAAATAATATTAGTTAAATAAAAAATAATTTAAAAAAAGAAGATAAATCCCTTACAATTCCTTTGAAATAAATATGTGAGGGAGGAGACCAGTAGCATTAATTAATTTAAGATGGCCAACGAGCTTTTCTTCATCTCTTTAATAAAATGTAGTGATGTACAAACTACACTTTCTGAGCGTGTAATTTATTCTGTACGCTCAGCAATGTCCCGAGAGAACTGACCCCAGAGGTCATGTTTCCTGGTTTGCAGGAGGCTACCCAAATGCTGGACGTTCGCTTCTTAGTTTTTATTTCAGACAAATAAATGAATTCTTTAAAAAATGAAATGAAATAATTCTAAAACAAAACTTTAAACAATTATTAAATTTTTTAAATTATTTTTACTTTTTTTTTTTTTTTGGGAGAGGTTTTCGCTATAGAGCGTGTGCGCTCGCCAGACAGACAGAGAGAGACATAGAGACAGAAAGTGAGAAATCACCCCCCAGAGGGGATGGTCATGCCGCAATCTCTTCTCCTCCATTCTCCTCTCGGGATCTTGGGCACGCATGCACATGTGCCCGGCGTGAGTTTTAAGCCACCGGGTCCTGGACGCGAACCGCGGTCGACTACGTGGGAGTCCAGTGACATAGCCATTACGCTAACTGCTGGTTCCCAAAATTATTTTTACTTTTTAAATTCACGAGAGAGAAAGAGAGAGAGAGAGAGAGAGAGAGAGAGAGGAAAAGTGAGAAAGCAAGCTGCCAGATCTGGGACTTGAACTGCAGTTGGTCATGTGAGAGTCCAGTGCCTTAACTACCATGCCATCTGCTGGCCCCTTCTTGTCTATTTTTCCTACAAACTTTAGAGTCAGCTTGTCTCACTTAAAAATTCTTTTGAAATTTTTATTATAATTCCATGAAACTCTAGTACAATTTGGTGTTAGATTTTTCTTTAAAAATTATTTATAATTCTTTTTTAAAATTTGCTATAGGGCACATGTGCTCACCAGAAAGAGAGCGAGAGAATGTGAGAAAATAAGCTGCCAGGTCTGAGACTCAAACTGCATGTTGACCACGTGGGAGTCCAGTACCTTAACCACCGTGCCACCTGCTGTTAGATTTCTTTAAATCCAAGTATGAGAGGTCATTAAAAAGTTCATAGAAAATGCATATTGTGAAAAAACTATGTAGGGGGGCCAGCCAGTGTCCTGATGGTTATTAAGGAGGCTTGATCCCATATGGCTGGCTGACTGGCTTGAGTCCCTGACCCAAAGGCTTGAAAAACATGCCAGCCATGTTTGTAGGTGCTCCAAATCCTGAGAGGAGAATGGAGAAGGGATTGTGGCATGTCCATCTCTTAAGAGTGCTTTCTCATTTTCCCTCTGTCTCTTCCTCTCTGGCAAACACATGTCCCCCATAACAAAAGTAAACAGCAACAACTATGTGTGGGTTTCACAATTTTCTGCACCAATATAGTCATACTTTATTTCCATCTTAGCACAGACTTCTTCAATGTTTTTGCCATTGAATGAGTGCATTCGCCAGAGTCAGAGAGAAAGACAATGAGAAGGAAAACGAGAAATTACCCCCCCAGGGGGGATGGCCACACTATAATCCTTTCTCCTCCATTCTCCTCTTGGGATTTTGTGCACACATGCACACGTGCCCAGTGTGTTGTGTTTCAAGCTTCCAGTTCAGGGACTTGAACCGCGGTCAGTCATGTGGGAATCCAGCATCTCAACCATGCCACCTGCTGGCTCCAGCACACATTTTAAAAACATTTTTATTGGGACCAGCAGTTGGCATAATGGTTTTAATTATTTAATTTTGAGCTGGGAGGAGGCATAGTGGTTAAGGTGCTGC